CCCCAAAACCCCAAAACCCCAAAACCCCAAGAGGTCAGATTAGCTTCAATATAATTGATTGTAAATTATTCTATAATATCAAAATGAAAATGATTTTATGCTTGCTGATAATAGTTGTAGTATAAATGTCTAAGTGTGCTGTTTTGAGTAAGGTCAAGAATTTGATTAATACTTTTAAAGGGCATTATAAATTTGCAAACCAAGCTAGTATTGTAGACACAGGAACTTAAGCTACTAAGTTAGATTTCACAATTAGTAAAATGAATTCTTTGGTCATTACTTTTAGACAATGATGATTTCTATTATTACTCTGACTATAGGGGTGTGCAGTTTTCAGGCTAGTACTTGAGATTGGTTGAACCAAGTAACTCAGTAAAATTCTTCCCAACTAGCAACTTCTACTTCCAAATGTATTTCTACATCTGCGAGGTAGATGAAGCACATCTGTTTTGCCTTCAATAATTGACTTCAGTTTCTCAAAATGTGCCGTATTTTTGCTTGAGTACAGATAATGATGGAAAGTTACTACTTTAAATGAGATTAATTAAAACTAAAGACACAATTACCTCACAGTATTATCCAACAAGTGAAGAAGATTACTAATAGACAGGGATTAGTCTAGTGTAAGGTTGGAATTGGATTGGAGCAAGAGTTTCATATAAGTATGGATACACAAATGTCACAATATACCATTCAGATGAATCCTAAGATGATGACTTGTAATTTAGACAAGTTAAAGTAGATTATAAATGGGAGGGTTAATTTGATTAGAGTTCTTACGATAGAGCAGAATTGGTGCTTGGCTGTAGATTAAATTCAATTGATCTCCCTTATATATACGGTAGTTGTATGAAAGGCTGGATATATAGCATCAAAGTAAATGACTTGACTGATTTTATTGGAGACGATAAATTGTCTATAGAACATATATGTACAACTTCCACTGATTGTAAAATGTGTCCTTAGTTCTACAGCGCAGGTTGTCTAGAGTCAACTTCTATTACAAATGACATTATAGAGGAGTGGGACACCAAAGTACTTTCAAATTACCCAGACTCAATATTGCCTATTAAAGTCCTGGACTATGAGTTAACTAAAAATTCTGATAGGAAAAAGTGGCCTACTTACATTTCTGGCGTTGGCTTGCTATCATCAACTGAGAGCTGGTCTTATATTGTTTAGAACAATGATATAATGACGCCTTACTTCCCCTTTCCCCCTTAATTCACTATAGAAGCCTGGATAAAGTTTGATCTAACAAATATAGCCCCTAATACAACTTTAATGAACATATTTGGAAAGTTCACAGGATCAAATCCAGCGTCTATATCTGCTGCTAATAGGAACATGAAAGTAGGATTTGCAGTAGCGAATCATTACATGCGAGTATATGTCAATTCAAAGTACTATGACCTAGATTACAGTTTCATAGAGAATTATAAGTGGCAGCACATCACTATATCTTATGATTTACAATATGCTTATAAGACTACTTAGGCCTCTGCATCAACTCTGATTACTATCTACATTGACGGGGTAGAGCAAGTATCACAGATAGTTGATGATGCTGTCAATTTCAGGTTTACTGGATATTTGATATTAGGAGATGGATTCCAAGGAGTCATTAGAAAGGTCAGAGTTCTAAACAGAACTCCTTGTATCAGCAGAAAGCCAGTCAGTTTGGCTTATAGTAAGGTGTTGTGTGGAAATGTTGCCTAGGATACCAATGACTTCTGCGACTCTGTTGAGAAGAACTACGGTGATTGCGCTAATATGAGCTACTACTATGATGCCACTAAGGGATGTCTAGGTAAATAAATATTGAGTTAAGGAATATCATAGGTTGTCACAAAAGTTGTCATACCTGCTTGAATAGCGGAAGAGACAAATGTTATAGTTGCAACACTCAAGGATATTTCTTATTCAACCATACCTAAACTCCAGCTACCTATTCTGTCACCAAACCTTGCTTTTGTTCCAATGGCACTTACTACAATTCCTCAGCTCAGCTTTGCATTCGTATACTTATTCATTAATATTTAACTTTATAAAGCTTGTATTGAAGGATGCCTGGTCTGCTAAGATAGCACTACTAAATGCTACGCTTGCGATGATGGATATTTTATGCAGCAGGACTCATCTTGCTAGCAAACTTGTCCCAAGAACTACAAAGGCAACTCAGAGCATAGAACCTGCGAACTAGACATTACGAAGCCTGTCCTATCTTCTTAAAGAGGCTACCTGCTTAGAGATTATATTCAAGAGGAAGTGCAGGTTGACTTGGAGGATATTAAGGGTTGTCTGTTTGGAGAATACTGGTCTAATGTATACTCGCAATGCATGGTGTGTCATGATGACTGTGTTGGGTGCAAATTTGAAGATGGACTGACGCAGTGTTTGTCCTGTCTGAGCAACAAATATCTAAACTGGGATGACTCTTGTCAGAACTGTCGACACAGAAAAAACGGAATGAATATTGATTAGGCTGGGTTTTGTTAAGATACTTGCGGAGACGGTAGAAGATATCAAGATAATGCTTGTGATGATGGAAACACTGGTAGTGGTGATGGTTGTAGTGATGAATGCTTAGTAGAGAGTAATTATGTGTGCAGAGCAGGGTTCTTTGGCAGCAGAGATGTGTGCACTCTCATACCGAATACAGTATATAATATAACTGTGACTGAAAACAATGATTTGATTTTAGAGTTCAACAGACCTATAATGCCTTGTAAGTTATTGTAACCTGTTTACATTAAATATAGTGAATAGAACTATAAGTGAATTAGATTTTGACATTCAATTGATATCTAGAGATGGTCAGTATAAATAGTTGGACTTTAAGGTTTTGAGTACCGTGTATCCCACTAATTATCTCTATTTCTACATAAAAACGGATTAAACTATTAAAGCCAGTGCTTACTTTGATAATGTAAGGATTGATTTTTGCATGTAATTATGATAGATGATTAAGGTTAAATACCTAAATACTGGCAATATCGTAGATATTGATTAAAATCAATAAACTATCATCTCTAATATCTAAGGTAGAGGATTAAGCACGATCAATAAAGAAATTAAAAGTAACTTGACTATCAAGGCTTATCTGTATCCATTGCCATACCTTGATTAAAGTAGCTAAACTGAAGTTGAGTTTTACAATAAGATTATGATGATTTTTATTGCAGGATCAATTGCATTACAAATCACAATCACAGCTTTCATAAAGTAGACAATCATGCCCTCTGTTATCATTATATTCTACTGGTAATAGATATACTTTACTTGTGTAAATGATCTGTTCTGGACACCCAAAATGGATTACTTCTATAGTTTTTTTAGCTACTTTCAGTTTGAATTCCCTCAGGTTTTTAGAATACATTAAACTAACTACCTACTTGATTTAAAGTAGATTAAGAAGTATTAGTATAACACAAATCTTTATAAGAATACTGGCTATGAGTATAATAGCTTCTATGTTAATGCACAGAGTAAGATTATGATAATAATGATTATTTTGGGATCGGTAATGATTGCTACAATTGTCGAAATAATGTTGGAGAGTTATAGTAAATGGAGAAACAAGTATTTGACTGCTTTTGTTCAGAAATGCTATTGGTCTTATTTGATTGGAGTGTTTATTATCTTCTTCTATCCATTGATATTGACAGTCTAATTAGAACTTATTGAGAAGCAATTTGATGGTTCATAGGAATTACTGTCATATTCATTAGCAGGCCTAGCTTGCATTAGTCTTGCTCTGTTCTTTATACTTATATGCATTATCATTGGAATAAACACTAAGAACAAATAATTCAATGAGTCTAAGGTTATATTTGATATTGTTTTGAGACCATTCAAAAGAGGTGGGATGATTTACACCTCATTTTGGATAATTCAAATGATTAAGATTACTGTTTTGACTTTTCTTTAGAGTATGGTATAGGAGTATGCAACTGGACCTATCTCGATTTAAACAGTGGTCTGTGCCTCAGTTCTAGCATGTCTAATTATTGTCAGACCCTTTAAAAGCAACTTAACGAATTTAATATCTATTGTATTGGAAGCTAATTTAGTGATAGTCTAATATCATTCACTTGATTTTAAGCAAGCAGGAGATACCGAAGTCAAAAGAGATTCAGGTATGTTAATTCATTTTGATTTAAAGTTATATAGGTCAAGTGATTATTTATACATGTCTGACATCTGCTTGCTTAACCGCACTGCTATTGATTATCTTCAATATAAAAAAGATAAGTGATACTTTCTACAAATAAGAGCATGGAGTTGTGAAATCTTAGGATCCTATTTACAAACTAGGCCTAAAAAAGAAGATAAATAAGAAAACTCCATTAACTAAGAAAGGGTTGATAAACTAAACAAGTAAAACTGTGAATCAATAAAACTATAAATATGATAGTCTGGTAAGATTTCTAACTATAAGTATAATTTAGGCTGTAAACTAATTGAATTCAACTATTGCTTTGAAGTCTCAGCATTTAGATGAATCGACTATAAATCATAAAAATATGAGTAAATTTGAGAATTACAGCGTGAAGAGAAAGAAGTCACATGATGATCTAAACTTAAGTTTTGAAGATGTATTCAAATCTGAAGGAGAGGTAAAACCTGACATGAATTTTACTAAGAGTGAAAGAGACAATACTCCTCTAGGCTTAAGAGGAAATTCCAGTAGCTTAAAATAGCTTTATGCAAAATACAATGGTGATTTCAACAAATTCGATTGAAATCAATAAATGATTGAGAGGCTTAATTTATATCTTAATTTCATGATTCTTGACTAATGCTAATCTATGGGGTTTTGGGGTTTTGGGGTTTTGGGG